ACTGGAGTGGGTTGCCATTTCCTTTCCCAGAGGATCTTCCCAAACACAGATACATTAAGTGGGATGAAATAAATCCACGCCTTGTGAAAGGCCACCCAAGGAGCTTCTGTGGGCCCTCTACTCATCCCCCCCACCCCATCCCAAGAAGAAAGAAAAGAGGATACTGCATCCCCGTGGTAGTGACGATCCCAAACCCCCTGGGCCTCTCATAAACCTGCTCCAGCCTAGGAGTCTGCCAAGCGAGGCGGCGCCACATGCAGAGGTAGCGCCTGCCAGCCTCTCCAGGATGGTGGGCTTCCCATGGGGACCACTGCCCGGGAAATTCACATCCTGGAGTGGCCTGGAAGAGGAAGCACAGCACGGCCCCCCAGAAGGCTGCCTTCACAGGCCCCACATGTGGTGTTCCCACACTTGGCAACACAGGGACGTGAAATACTCACTGTGAATTGGGTGGGAGAGGGTCATGGAGAGAAGTTGCCCACCACGCCTTCCTTCTGGACGTGGCTGCGTCAGCCACTGCACCTGTGACGTGCAGAGCGTGGGCGCCCTCTGCTGCCCTCACCTAGAATGGGCCCCAGGGTGGAAGAATCTCTGCCTTTAACCCAAACTTACAAACTATATATATGTACGCATGTGGTTGGCTGCACCATACTAAGTTCACCAGGTCTTAGTTGTGGCACATGGAATCTCTTAGCTGCAGCGTGTGGGATCTAGTTCCCTGATCAGGGATGGAACTTGGGCCCCTTGTGAGCACAGAGCCTTTAGATCATGAGGGAAATCCCAAACTTACAAAATATTTATTAAGCCTAATCAAAAGGCTTTTGTTTACAATAAATACCTAGTGAAGACAATTCAGACTGTTAACCACTCACATATTTTTCAAAAGCCCTTAAACTAGAATGAGATGGACCGTCTTCTCAGCTCTAGGGGTGATACTCCCCCCGGTCCTGGTTGAAAGTCCCTGTCATTGGTGACCAGAAGTACTTCTGTCCCTCACACATGCTCATTTCGTGGCTCGCTCTTCGGAAGAATCTTGAGAAAGGGGATTTCCTGGACTCAGCTGGCTTTCCGTCAGCCCCCCTTTTCCAGGCTCTCCTCCAAGCCCAGGTGCCCCATCACTTTTGGTCTCTGTTCCTTTTGCTCCAGCTTCCCCCACGGCCAGCCAACGCTCAGCAGAAATGGCTCCAGGGAGGAAAGTGGGGCCAGAATAATTGATCTTTCTGAATCACAGGTCAGAACATGTTGTTCAGCTGCCCAAAGGCGAGACCTCAAGGAAACATTTTCTCCCTCCAGTCCATGCTAGCCTCGGGCAGGGGGACAAGGGAAAAGCAGATGGTTTGGCCCCTGAGAGAAGGAAATACCCAGGGGCTGCTGGGGCTGGCCAAGGAAATGGGGACGGGAAAGATTTTTAAATGCTGTAGGAGCCCTTCCAGAGCCCAGCTAGCTCATTTTGACCTCGTCCACGTGTGCCTGAGCCAGGGAGCTGATCACCTGGCAAGAGGTCCCGGATCCCTGAGGCTTCAGGTGGGGAGTGCCTTGCTCCCGGAAGGCAGTGCAGGACATTACTACACAGTGGCTGGAATTCATCCTTCCTCTTTTCTACTTTTTTTTTTTCTCTCTCTACTTCTTTTTACATGTAGTTGTTCTTTTCTTTTTTTAAAAAAATATTTATTTGGCCACATCAGGTCATAGTCATTTCTCAGCCTTTTGGCTAAGATCCAGTGTGGGGGCTTCCCAGGTGACTGCCAGAGCAGGAGATACAAGAGACTCAGGTTTGATCCCTGGGTCAGGAATATCCCTGGGAGAAGGGAATGGCAACCCACTCCAGGCCTCCCTTGCGGCTCAGCTGGTAAAGAATCCGCCTGCAATTCGGGAGAGCGGGGTTCAACCCCTGGGTTGGGAAGATCCCCTGGAGAAGGGAAAGGCTACCCACTTCAGTATTCTGGCCTGGAGAATATTATACAGTCCATGGGAATGCAGAGTTGGATATGACTGTGTGACTATCACTTTCAGTTTCCTGTATCCTTGGCGGGAGTATCCCATGCGCAGATGAGCTTGGCAGGCTAGTCCGTGGGGTCGCAGAGAGTTGGACATGACTGAGCTACTGAGGAGAGCACATGGGCTCTTTCACTGTGGTGTGTGGACTCTAGGGCACGTGGGCTTAGTTGCCCCATTGCATGTGGGATCTTAGTTCCACAACCAGGGATTGAACCCACATCCCCTGCATTGGAAGGCGAATTCTTAACCACTGGACCATGAGGGAAGTCTGGATTCCTCTTCTCTTTTGAAGGAACCCTGAAGCAGATGCTCTGGTGAGGAAGCAGTGATGGAATACACACACAGCACTCAGCACATGACGCCCCTTGTTACTGACCCCTCCTAGATACCATGGGAGAGGCTGATCAACCGCTCCCTATCCCCGCATGGACAGCAGTGGGAGACAGACATACAGATGCCCCGATGACTTCTAACAGTCAGCAGGGCAGGTGTGTGGACGTGGATGTCCTCATACCTGGAACTCTGTCTCCCAAGGTTAAGCAGGTTCCTACCCACCAGACCTTCGAGTTTCTTTCCAGCTGTGAGATTGAATGGAGGTGTCCTCTCAGTTCTAAAACTCAGGCAGCTATTATCCCACCAAGTAACAGTGGGGGAGGCACACAGCCATCCTGCCAGGCACCCAGAAAGGCCGCCAGCATAGGCCCAGGAGACAGGTGGCCAGATCCGGGGACCCCACACCTCCCAGGAACGTGAACCCCCAACCTACCACTGCCCGTTTCCCCTGTCACGAAGGGCACAGGCCAGCCCTCGGCAAAATCTTGTTGAATTGACCACTTTCTTCTCCATCTTCCCTCTGCTATCAATAAGCTTGTTACCATCTTCTTGCAAGTCACGTGTTTCTAACATAGATTTCAATTTTCTCTAGTCTGATTGTACAGATTTTTCCTGCCCTATTAGTTATCTGGACAGTACTTAGGTTATGAAATTCAAAGAGGTATTGGATGCCCTGTTTACCCTGGGAGCTGGTGGTCCCTGGCAGGAGAGAGACGGAGAGACCTTCCCCACCCTTCTCTCTGGACCTGGTCCTTCTCGCCCACCCCACCCCAGCCTCCTTCCCCCGCCCCACTCCACACCCCCACCACACACAGCTCTTTGGAAAAAGAGCACAGGCTAAGGGGAGAAGAGTTTCCTTTTTGAGTTAAACAAGTCCGTATGAAGTTCCAGCAGAGAGGTCTGGCGGAGAGACTGAGTTATTCTGGACCACAGGGGCGTGGGCAGGGAAAATGCTGATAACCTCAAGGTGAGGGAAGCATGTGGTGGAGGGAAGCAGAGAGCCAAGGGGAAGGGCGAGCTGGGCTTGCACCCCAGGAAAATACACAGCCCTCCCGCTGGAAGGTTCTGAGACAATGGAACAGACAGACAATGGGGTTGATTCCACCTCGCCTGGAAACAGTCTGGACCCTGACTTTTTAGGAAACAGCTGGAAGTGAGGGCAAAGGACAGACTGAACAGTCTCCCAGATGCAGGCGCAGGGTAGTGATGACATGGGAGTGTGCACCCTCTGAAGACAGAGAGGGGAAAACATGATGGTACGGACTGAAATCCTCAGAGCTGGGGGGTTTTCACCAAAATGCAGGCATTGCCGTAGGCATGTCAGACCCTGAAGCATCAGTGCCTCGTCAAGTGCTAACCTGAGACTCAAGGCTGCTCTTTCCTCAGCCTCTCTCTTGCGGTGGGGGGTGGGGTGGCGCAGACAGCCTGAACTTAAAGACAGCCTAAACCCAGGCGTCCCCTCAGGCACAGCCTGCTTGCTCCCGCTTTTCCTGATGTTGTCAGAGTCAGCTCACCGTCCTTCCATCCGCCATGAGCTCAGTGGGCTAGTCCCAGGGAGGAGGCTGGCCACCCCGCAGGCCTAGAGGAAGGGCCACTCACTCCAAACCTCTGTGACAACGTCCCTCCCAGCGTCAGTGCCCGTGTTTGTCATCTTGTGCAAGGACTCTGGACCACCTTCTAGGTAATCCCAGGATGTAAGCGCAGGTGACAAATATTTCAATTCTGCTCTGGGGTTTGATCTCATCATCTGAGTGCTACCTGGTGGCTTTCCAAGCTCTGTTCCTGATTGCCACCCTAAGGAGTCCCAGACCGGCAACCAGATAACTGACCTGGCAGCATGTCCCCACCCACTTCCAACAGACACTTTCCCCCTCCCTCCCTCAGCCAACCACCTTTACAGGGCAAGAGGAGCCGCCAGAGGGCTGATGAAAACCCAGGAGCATCCTCACCACCTGGGACTTCGCTGAGGCTCCTGTCCTGGGGTGCTTCACACCCTCCCCCCACCCTCCTGTCTGGGGAGCCTCAGGTAAGAGCAGAAACGTAGCTCCCTGCTGGCCCTGGGGAAGTCACGGGGCACTGTGGTCCCCACCCTCAGCCCGACCCTTTAGGATCTGGGCTAAGGAGAATTTAAACCCAATTTCTTGCTAGTGGGCCTAGAAGAGCCCATCAAGTCCAGTAAGGAAAAAAAATTACCTAAAAAGAAATAAAGCGTTTTACTTACACACACAAATACACACAGTGCACCCCACCCTGGGAGCCGGTGAGACATTCCGATCCTGGACCCGGCTGGCGTCCAGGGCCTTCGGGCCTCGGCTTCCTGAAGACTGTGACCCTGGGGGCGCCACCAGCCCCACCGAGGGGTCCCAGAGGCCATACGACAGCTGCTTCCGTGCTCCAGGACCAAGCGAAGCAGGCCAGCCTGGAGCGGGGAGGTTCCGTCCTGCAACGCGCCTCCCGGCACAGCCGGGTCCTCCCCGCACAGGCGGGTCTTACCCCCACCCCCACCCCCATTTACGAGGCTGAGCTGGAAGAGAGCACCCCCCCGCCATCCGCAGTCTCGGGGATCAGTTCACAGTCTGGGTTCCGGGGCCCGAGGCGGGGTCGTGCGGAGCAATCCCGTCCTCGGCCCACAGGTGTGCACCTGGGGTGACCGCGGCTGGACCTCACATCTATACACCGATCTGCTCTTTAATCCAGTCCCGGAACACAGGGAGCCTCGTGTACACACCGGGCTTGTTCCTCTGCGCGCAGCCCTCGCCCCAGCTCACCACGCCGGCCTGAAACATCCGCCCATCCGCCTCCGGGCTGGACAGGGGGCCCCCGGAGTCGCCCTGCGGAGAGAGCAGGCCTTGGAAAGGCGTGCCTCCACCCTGGTCGCCACCCCCCACCCCACTCCCACCATGCCAGCTCTGCCCCCACCCCACGTCCCCACGCGTGCCCCCGCCCCCTGCGTCCCTGCCCCACGCCCACCTGGCAGGCGTCCACACCACCGCTGAGGTAGCCCACGCAAATCATGCGTGGGGTGATCTGCTGCGGCAGCAGGTGCTCACAAGTGGTCTGGTTGATGACCCGGATCTCGCCCTTCTGCAGGATCATAGCCCCCTGGCCTGCCGAGGAGCAAGGGCAGACATGGGCAGCTCGCCAAGCTGGGCCACAGAGGCAGGACCCGGGTCCAGGGCTCGCTGAGCCGGGTGGGATGCTGCGCAGCCAGACACAGTGGTCAGGGTGTCCTGACCAGCGCGGGGGGCGGGGGGAACCCTGGGAAGGCGTGTGGGAAAGGAAGGGACAGAAGGACAGACGCGAAGCCCCCGAATCCCAGCGGTGGGAGCAGACCCTCGGCCCCCACTCACCGGCCTCCTGCGTATGGCCCCAGCCGGTGACCCAGATGGCCTTGCCGGTGGGGAAGGTGTGGTCGGCCGCGGGCAGGCAGATGGGCCGGATGGTGGCGCTGTAGTCCACCGGCCGGTCCAGTTGCAGCAGCGCGATGTCGTAGTCGTAGGTGAAGTCGTTGAAGAACGGGTGCGTGATGATGCGCTGCAGCCCGCGCTCCTGCACCCCCGGGGCGCTGCGCTTGCTCTGGTCATGCAGGCCCAGATAGGCCGTCCACACGCTGTGTTCCGAGTACCTGCAGCGGGCAGCGAGGGCCCAAGAGGGAGGCCTGAGCCAGGACCCCAGCCAGATGCCCCGCCCCAAGCCTGCACCCACTTGGAGACAATGCTCAGAGGCCTTCCTTCCTGCTGCCCTCTCTCAATACACTCTTATCTCACTACTAAAAATATCTCCCTTCTTATTAACCTACCCTTCCTGCCCGGAGAGATTCTTGAGAGTCCCTTGGACAGCAAGGAGATCAAACTAATCAATCCCATAGGAAATGAACCCTGAATATTCATTGGAAGGACTGATCCTGAAGCTGAAGCTCCAATACTTTGGCCCCCTGATGCAAACAACCGACTCACTGGAAAAGACCCTGATGCTGGGAAAGAGTCCGGGCAGGAGGAAAAGGGGACAACAGAGGATGAGGTGGTTGGATGGCAACAGCGATTCAATGGACATGAACTTGGGCAAACTCTAAGAGATGGTGAGGGACAGGGGGGCCTGGCGTGCTGCAGTCCATGGGGTGACAGAGACATGACATGGCGACTGAACAACAGTAAGCAGGATGAAAATAGCACATCAATCCAAGTACTTCTCTAGCACAGCGGTACATATTTTAAGTACCAAATGAGCTGAAAAGTAGATGGAACTTTGTCTCCCAGGTTTGTAGATGGTAGAAGGATGCAGCAATTCTGACCATGGCACATAGGAGGAATGAACCCAAAAGGACAAGACCCTGCTGTTGCTGGGAGACAGGGAGATGCCTGCAGGCAGAGGTGGAAGAAGAGGAGAACTTGAACTGGGAGGAGGGCATGGCAACCCACTCCAGTATGCTTGCCTGGAGAATCTCCATGGACAGAGGAGCCTGGCGGGCTACAGTCCATAGGGCCTCAAAGAGTCAGACATGTCTTAGTGACTAAGCAACAAAAAACACCAACGGGGGAAGTACCTTTATAATGGAGAAAGCTGGTGGACATCACCCTAACCAAGTAACCAGACTTTTCTCCAAACTGTCCTCCACTGATGGGGACTCGTGTACTTCTTGAGAACACATCACCTGTGCAGCGTTTCCTGACCAAAAAAATATTGAACCTTGTAATTAGCCTCCAACTAATAAAAATAAATGAAAAAAAAAAAATATTGAACCTAACTCTCCTCATGAAGCAACAACCAGGATAATCCACATCAAGAGACATTCTACAGAACAGCAGCTAGGACTTTTCAAAAATGCGATGCCATAAAAGAACAAAAATTAAAAGGCTGGGAGAGACTATTCTACACTTAACGAGACTAGCATTATAAAGCAACTACTCTCCAATTTAAAATTAAAAAAAAAAAACAACTAATGACTAAAACAAAGCATATCCCTTGACTGGATCCTAGACTTTTTAAAAAAACCTATAAATACCGGGAGAATTGGAGGAATCAGAAACCAGGCCATATGCCAGCTAATGGTGCTATGTCAATGCACTTGTTTCTGGGTGATGACTGTATGGTGGTGATGTGGGAGGATTTCCTTGTTCCTGGGGGAGACCAGTGGCTGTACTTAGGACACAAGCGCCATGAAGGCTGCACCTAACTGGGAAATGGCTCAGAAGGGTGTATGCGAACGTCTCGGGAAGCACGGCTGAGATGTGACCCGCGCGATGGATGAGTATAGTGTCTGAGAGAAGAAAGAATCTGAGAAGACTTTGGTGTCAGTCAGCAGAGAGGGCCTGGAACTTCCAGAAGACAAGAGAAAAAGAAGCAGGGGAAGAAAAGACAAAGTGTGAAAGCCCCCGCAAGGTCATGAAGAACGCTGGTCGTGCCGAGGCAGCGAGCGACACTGCGTGCTGCACCGTCACATGCACATCGTGCTGGATGGCCGACAGGGAAAGAATCAAGAAGGTCACGCATCAAGAGGTAACTCAGCGACAGCTTGACAGCAGCACGAAGCACCTGCAGTAAACCCATTCCGTTGAGACCTGAGTCAAAAAGCAGAGGTCGACCAGTCAACCAGAACAAGCACTCTTCCAGAGGCTGACATGCTAAGTCATCCTATCCCCAGACACCCCATCAAGGTGGTCATGGGCCACCAACTCAACCCAGCAGCCTGTGCTCTTGACACATGATGCTACCTCTCAGGAACAGCCTGGGGTCACCTGCTGACTTAGAAATGTGTGCAAAGTACCTGCACTTCAGGTCCTAGCATACTTCACCCTTGCCTGTCCCTGCTCACAGCCCTGCCTTTACCTGGAAGGTCTGAGTCACCCGGTCCAGTGACAAACACCCTCATGTTTCAACACCAGACTGGACACCCTGCCCACACAGGCACTCCCCAGCGGTCACGCTCCCCAGCCTTCAGGAGAGCTCTAACCCCACACACTGGGCCCTCGACAGCCTCTCGCACACATGTGCACATGTACACATGTGTGTACCTTGTCCCCCGACCCCGGGACACCTGTAAGAGTAGGGACCAAGTCTACTTCAGCTGTGTCTTCCCAGCCAGTGATAACAATGGTGCTGGGTGCATTCACCGACAGAAGGGAGACTGCTGAGCAGGAGAAGATGAAGGAAAAGGAAAAGGAAATGAGAAGATGCAGCAGGGAGCCAGGGCCCGGGGGCGGGTGCTTCAGGAAGCACTTCCCAGCTCACCCGGCTGAAACAGGGCGGAAATAGGACTGCGGTAACCAAGGGGGTGCACAGTGCTTGGATCTTGGTTTCTTCTCAGGGGAATACCTAGTTCTGGGGCTGGGCCAGGAAAATACAAGATGAACCTGGAGCACCAAGCAGTGTCAGCAGGGAGGTGGCTCAGGAGAACAAAAGAAGTGGGGGGCATGTCAAAGGGAGCCAGGAGCCAGCCTGGAGAGTTCCCACTGGCCAGCCCCACAACAGTCAAGAGACAGCACACAACACGGTACCAGATGACAACCCAAAATACACGAGTCCCTGCACACATAAACAGATGATTAAATAAACACACAGGAGAGAAGGGACAAATCCTCCTTACAGAACAATGCCAAACTGACTCACTTCCAAAGAAGAGAGACCAGAAGAGGGAGATCCAGGGAGGGAATGGAGGAAACTGGCATCAGCCTCTGAACCAGATGACCAAGCCGAGCATCACCAGCGATCAGCCACGGTGACATCATTTACCTGCTGATAAGACATGGCTGTCTTCCAAACACTCATGACCCCAGGCTAACCATGAGAACAACGTCAGCACCCACCGACCTTCAGACAGTCCAGGTCACGAAAAACACACAAAGACGACCGAGAAACGGTCCGGGACAGAGGAGACTGGGGAGACAGGGCGGCAGACGCTAAGGGGGCACCTGGATGGACTCTTGCTGCAGAAAGGACACTGGTATGAAACTGGCACCTGGGGTGGGGGGCGGGAGAGGAGCCCTGGGGCAGCCCCGAGGCAAGTTTCTAGTAAGGAACTGTGTGTTTCTCAGAGCTGACAAACGCAGCATGATAACATCAAGGGAAAGTATGTGTGGGAGGTGGTATAGTGAATTCTGTCCTGTCTTTGCAAGTTGTCCACATTACAAAATGATAAGTTCATTCTAAACTTTCCTCAGTAGGTTCCCACCACCCCAAGAAGAAAGCAGCTCACTTCTGCCCAGAGTGGTGTGGAGTGTGATAGTGAGAAGACAGGCCACGTTTCACCCACCCAGCCAGGCCCGGTGACCACCGCTGATCCCGAGCCCCCACAGGCCTCTGGGACCCCTCCAGCACATGCACCTGTCAGGCCCCACCATCTGGACACAGGCCTACTTCCTGCTGTGGGCCCCTCCTGTCCCAAAAGTCCATGGTGCTCGTTCTCTCTCTTTGCAAAAGGGTGACCGTGGCAGCCTGGGTACCCTCCTCCATCACCCTGGGTCCCCTCCTCCCACAGCTGCTCAGGGCTGGAAGGCTGGCGCCCGGCAGGAAGGGCCTGAGGGAGGGGGGCCCTCTGAGCCCTCAGTCTCACTCCCACAGCTGATGGCCTGGGCGGGCTGGACCCAAATCACGAAGAGCCCCAGCCCCGGGCCGCCTGCTCCCGCTAAGCCGCCCTGAGAGGCCAGCTCGGCCCAGTGACGTGCCTGGTGACCCTCCCCGGGGTGGGTTTGGGTCTGCACGGGCACCAGCATGGGCTCAGCGCTTCATCGTCACCCTCATGTTTCCTTCTCACACCTCTCAGCCTACAAATCACAGGATCACCATGAGCCCCCAGGAGCCCCAGGCTCAGAAAACTTGCCCATGGCAGCCTGGCAGCCTAGAGCTGGGCCGTGGATCTGAGGGCCCTGAGGGGGGGTCATGCCCTGCAGACACTGACCACTCAGGCTCAGGAATCCACACACCGGGGCTACAGTCTGGTTCTGCTGCTTAAGAGCTGTACAACCTCAGGCAGATATCCTTACCTCTCTGATCCTCTGCTTCTGTAAGACGGGCACACATGAGACCTGCCCGCCTGGCTTTTAGGAGAGGTCCTGAGAGCCTGCCGGACAAGCAGGGTCTCCCGCTAAACACTTAGTGTTTCCGTTACCAAGCCCCACCCCTCCAGTCCTGCTCCTGCCTCACCTAGGCAGGACTCAGAGACACAGGGCCTTTCCACCCCAGGAAATACAAAGGGGCCCCACTCGGGGCCCTGGAGAGGCCTCCTGGCTCCTGCCTGTGACCCACCTGAATCCTCTGTCGTCGATGAAGCAGTGTGCGGCGGACACCATCCAGCTGGGGGAGATGAGAGAGGCCCCGCACAGGTGGCCCTGGCCCAGGGCGTGGAGGCTCACCTGCCAAGGCCACTCGCCTTGGTCTGAATTCTCACCTCCGACGACTCGGGACTGCCTGGTGAACGACCGCCGCCCACAGTCTGGGAGAGGCAGAGGCAGGAGTCATGGGGTGGGAGTGGGGGAGGTGGGGGGAAGCCCCGCTAGACCAGCCTCCTGGCCCCTCTCCCTGCCCCCGGACTCAAAACCCTCACGCCCCACCCCTGGGCTCCTGCACAGGTGCCATCGCGGGCCTTCAGACCCTGCTGGTTTGCTGAGATTTAATTTGGGTGTCTTTTGCCTAGATGTCCTCACTGGGTGCTGAAGGACACAGCTCTCAGAGACAAGAGCGATGGGTGACGGCAAGTCAGAAGGGCCCAGCTCTGCACACATTGAACCTGTGGCCAGCGCTTCTGAAATATGCAAGGAGCTGCAAATATGGGCAGGGTGTGGACAGAACCCTGCCCAGGGCTCCAGGAGCTGTGCTCTCTCCTCCAGGTAGCATGGAGAAGCCCGGCCTTGCCCCCATGGCCAGGTCTACAAAGCAGGAGTCAGCCCAGCACTGCAGCCCGGCCACAGAGGCCTGACATACTAGCTGCCCTGGGCCTTGCCTCTAGGATCAGAGCTGCCGGTGAGGCAGCGCCTGGGTGCCAGTCAGCAAAGTCATCCTTTCCTCCATGCAGACACATCCTCTCCCCGGGACAGAGCTGGGTGAGTGAGGCCCTGGTGTGATTTCTGCCTCTGTATGTGCCTTGCTCAGTGAACAACCTGCACAACTGTACGCAGCAGCCCTGCTCACCACAGTCCTTCTCATCCGAGCCATCAGCACAGTCCTCGTTCCCGTCACACTGGGGGTTGTTCTTGTCCACACAGAGCCCGTTGAGGCAGCGGTAGGTGTGTTTGGTGCAGGTGACGACTTTCACTGTTCGAGCAGGAGGACATAGGGGAGGCAATCCATTCTCTGGGGCACCCGACCTGATGCCCCTCTCTCGGGCCTGGCCCACCCACCCACAGTGACACCCACTCTCCTCCTGGCCCTTCTGGACGATTCTCTCCCAGCTGACACCCTTTCTCATCATGCTCCACATTGAGTGACCCTGTGGGAAGCGGGCCCCGGCCTCACCGTCTTGGCACTTGGCCTCATCGGACCCGTCGCCACAGTCGTCCTTCCTGTCACACTGCTGGCTCTGAGGGAGGCACTTCCCGTTGTCACACTTGAAGGCATTGGGCGGGCAGCCTGGGGAGCACAAGGACTCAGCAGGGACTCGAGGGCCAGCAGCAAGGCCACGGGGAGCTGGGCAGAGACCCCCCAGCCCGCCCCCGGCCACACTCACTGCAGCCCTCCTCGTCGCTGCCGTCCTCACAGTCCTTCACGGAGTCACAGACCCAGAACAGGGGCTTGCAGAACTTGTCCCTGCACGTGAACTGGTAGGTGGCATTGCACTCTGGAGGGGCGGGCAGGCAGTTAGATGCCAGGCTCACTCGGTACTCAGTCACTCGCCGAGCGCGCCCCTGGGGATCCCATCCCGCCCAGTTGTGGAGGCTGACTCAGCGCCATGGGCTGCAAAGGACAGGAACGACCCCCACCCCCCCAGCTGGGGCCTTCCCGCTCGGGGTCGCAGGCAGAAGCCGGGCACAGAGCGGGCAGAGGACGCCAGGGGACTCACTGCAGTCGAGCTCATCGCTGTAGTCAGTGCAATCGGCCCAGCCATCACAGCGAAGTTCCTTCCGGATACACCGCCCCGTGTTACACATGAAACTGCCTGGGCACGCTGAGGGCAGAAGGTAGGCCTGAAGTCCACAGCCACCCCCATCACCTCGACTGCTGGCTTCCTGACCTTGCAGCCAGCCGCTCTGGGTGCCAGAGGAGACCTCCCAGCCCAGCCCCCAGTTCAGAGGAGTGAGGCTGCAGCTGGGGGTCTCCAGGCCCACTGAGCTCTGGCAAGGGGTTCCTACAACCAGTGTGGCGGCCAGAGAAGGTGGGGAAGGCGCTGGTTGAGGTCCCTCCTGGCCCCCATGACCAGGAGGCCCCGGGCAGAGCAGAGAGAGGCCGGCAGGTGTGCACTGATTTCTACTGCCCTGTGTCCTTAGCCGGCCATGACCCCAAGCACCAGGCTCCCCATCGGCAACCCGGAGCAGCAGCCACTCAACAGACAGATGACATGCGTGTCCTCCCCCAGGCACTGGGAATCGCTGGATCTCCTTAATTCTAAGATGTTTCCACACTTGAACATGTCTGAAACTAGGATGTGTCTGACAACTGATGTCATCGGGCAGAGGACAAATTGAGAGGAACCTGTTTCCCTTTCTCTGCACAAGTAGCTTTGTCACTTACCAAAGGGGTTTGCTCATCTGATTACACTTCGGGTGGTGAGCCATGCAGCTGAATGTGAACTTAAATTTGGATGCTTGTGTGCAGTTAAAGTGTCTTCCAAAAGGTTATTCTATGATTTGTTATTGTTTACTAGCTAAGTCGTGTTCAACTCTGCAACGACATGGACTGCAGCCTGCCAGGCTCCTCGCCCCATAGGACTTCCCAGCCATGAATACTGCAGTGGGTTGCCATTTCCTTCTCCAGGGGATCTTCTCAGACCAGGGATTGAACCTGCATCTCCTGCATTGGCAGTTTCTTGACCATTGGTAGCCACCTGGGAAGCCCTATTCTATGATACAAGGTTGAAACAAACAAAAAACCCCACTGTGGACAGAGAAAAACTGATATTCACAGCAGACAGTGAAATTAAAGGCCATGGAAACAGTTAAGATCTCTTCAGTAGAGATCTCACAATTTTCAGAGCTAGGAGTGGTTCATGCGATGATCCATGCCCCAGTGTGCTGTCTCAAAAGCATGCTATTCATCTGACAGCTGCTAAAAGGCCAGAGACAAGCACAGATTCTCAAAGTGGTGCAGAGCCAAAGGGACAGTGGCCCAAAGGCACTTTGGGTTCCCCGGCCTGAGAGGCTGCTCCCAGGGACCTAAGGGCACTGTTGGCTCTTTTTTTCTCAAAAAGCTACTGCAATGACTGAGATGCACCCTACGGGCTCTGGTGGCTCAGCGTCAGAAATGCCAATGAGATGCAGAATGGACGGCCAATCTCAGGTCGCCCCTCCAGCCAGGCCCCGCTTCCTGAGCACGATACTCACGGTCACGGGCATCGAAGGACAGGAACTCCGCCAGGAATCCAGTGTCGGTGTAGGACTGGTCCGAGTGGAAGTGGACGGTGATCTTGTTGCTCCTGCTGCTGGCAACAAACTGCGGCCTCTTTCCACAGTACCTGGGGGCAGCGGGCAGCTCAGCGGAGGAAGAGGATCCACCCGGGGCTGGGGCACCCCCACTAGCCCTCCCCTGGCACTCACTTCTCCCCATTGATCTCCACGTAATCCTTGGTGCAGGAGCCCACGGGGACATTGGGCTCCTGCAGGAAGAAGGCTTTGAAGCGCACCTTCACGTTTTTGTTGCTGGGTACCTGCAGAGAGAGATGCTGCTGTGGGCCTGGTTCTGCACAGCCTCCCTCTTTCCTGGGCTGGGGGGGAAGGGAGGGGTTCTTCCCTCCCACCTGCCTGCCTGCCCACCCGCCTGCAGGGCAGTGAGGACGCGGCAGGAGGGAGCTGGAAGGAAGCCCTTCCCGACTCGCCAGCAGCACACACACTGTGGTGTTCTAAAGAAGGCTGGGCAGTTCTCCCACATCACTGACTGGACAGCGCGTGTCTCCTGCCATCCAGTGAGCATGTCCTCCTCTGCACGGCACTCACTGTCCCCACAGCTCCTCTAGGAGGTCCCAGAGCCAGCTGCATCCCAGACCCGGGTCCCTCCGGCAGGCACCGGCCACAGGAGGGGTTGAGTTTGGGTCTGTTGGACGCTGCTTTGAAAACTGCCCCGCCCACAGCCTCCACACACACCCCTTAGGAGTGGCCAGAGGTGCTCACTGCCCTCTCTCCTGCCTCCCTGGAGCACCCCCAACCCCTTCCCCTTTCCTCCCCCCATCTACCCCTCAACCAGTTTCTCTAACCCCCTACAGCACACAGCTCCCACCTCAATGTGCCAGGTACAGTTGACATTGGGCGGGTAGTGGCCTGGATAGTAGGGGCTGTTAAATGTCCCCTGGGCTGCCCGCAAGTAGCCTCCACAGCCTGGAAGGAAAGGCAGAGAGACGCATGTGATGACTGAGGTCCCAGGAGGGCAAGGGGCCCTGAGGAGCCGGCCGGCCTCCCTCAAGCCTGGGCACCAGACGCCCCACTTCCAGGAGGGCCTGAGCTTCAAACCCCATGGCCCCGAGGCCTGTCCCCGCCTGGGCCGCCTCTTACTGCTCATCCGGGGCAGCTGGAAGAACACAGCCTCGAAGCCGGGGTGCCTGCGCTTGGTGCTGGTCACCAGCGTGATGAGCAGGACGTTCTGGGAGGAGAGGAAGGTCAGGTTGTAGGAGGGAGGGTAGGTCCCACACAGCCTGCGGGGCAGAAGGGGGAGTGTTATGGGAGCCACAGAATCCCAGCAGCCATTTAAGTAAAGATCTCCTCATAAGACTGTCTTTGTTTATAAACAACTCAGAAACACTGAACACCTAATGATAGAGGACTCGCTAAGCAGTTAACAGCAGAAACTGTTAACACTAACACTTACTAAGAATATGCCAGGCACCGTCCTTACTGCTTCTATATCCATTAACTCAAGTATTCATCACAACAACCATTAAATACTATTACCCCATTTTACAGATAAGGAAACAGGCGAAACAGGTGAAATAGCTTGCCCAAGACTGCACAGCTGATATGTGGCAGGACTAAATGAAAAAACAACCCATAGAATGGGAGATAATATTAGCAGGTGATACAACCCACAAGGGATTAATCTGCAAAATATACAAACAGCTCGTGCAGCTCAATATCAAAAACAAACAACAAACAAACAAAAGAAACAATTAAAAAAAATGGGCAAAATATCTAAATAGACATTTCTCCAAAGAAGACATAAGACATGGCCAAAAAGCACATGAAAGGATACGCAACACAGCTAAATATTAGAGAAATGAAAATCAAAACTACAGTGAGGTATCAGCTCACACTGGTCAGAATGGCCATCATCAAAAAGTCTACAAATAAGAAACACTGGAGAAGGTATGGAGAAAAGAATCCTTCCTACACTATTGATGGGAATGTAACTTAGTGCAGCTACTATGGAAAACAGTATGGAGGCCTTAGCTAAACAAAAATAGAGCTACCATATGACCCAGCAATCTCACTCCTGAGCAAATATCCAGAAAAGATGAAAACCATAATTTGAAAAGATACATGCACCGGAAAGTTCATAGCAGCACTATTTACAGTAGCCACAATGTGAAAGCAACCCAAATATCCACTGACAGATGAATGGATAAGGAAGATGTAGTATGTACATACAATGGAGTTTTCACTCAGTCACAAAAAGGAATGAAATAATGCCATTTCCAGCAAAATGGACCTAGAGATCATCATCCTAAGTGAAGTAAATCAGTCAGAGAAACAAAAATACCCTATGATATCACTTATGTGTTGAATCTAAAAACAATTATACAAATGAACTTATTTATAAAACAGAAAGAGACTCCCAGATAAAGAAAAGAAACTTCTGGTTACCTAAGAGGGAAGGGAGGGAGGGATAAATTAAGAGATTGGGATTAACAGATACACACCACTATATATAATCAACAAGGACCTACTGTATAGCACAGGGAACTCTACTTGATCCTCTGTAATAACCTATATAGGAAAATAATCTGAAAAAAGAATAGATATAGATATGCATAGCTGAATCACTTATATACTTATATACTATTAACAGTGTAATAGGTTACACTATACTAACCTATACTCGGAATAGGTTAATAGGTTATACTCTGTAATAACCTATATAGGAAAATAATCTGAAAAAAGAATAGATACAGATATGCATAGCTGAATCACTTATATACTTATATACTATTAACAGTGTAATAGGTTATACTATACTAACCTATACTCGGAATAGGTTAATAGGTTATACTCTGTAATAACCTATATAGGAAAATAATCTGAAAAAAGAATAGATATAGATATGTATAGCTGAATCACTTATATACTTATATACTATTAACAGTGTAATAGGTTACACTATACTAACCTATACTCGGAATAGGTTAATAGGTTATACTCTGTAAATAACCTATATAGGAAAATAATCTGAAAAAGTAATAGATATAGATATGCATAGCTGAATCACTTTGCTCTACACCTGAAACGAACACAACACTGTAAACAACCACACTCCAATATAAAATAAAACATGTTTTTTAAATTTTTAAATGAGTGAATAAGTCAATGATGGAAAAAATCTCCGTCCACCAAAAAAAGCAGCAGGACTGAATCTCAGACTCGTCACTTGGGCACCGAAGCCCTCACTGCTAATGAGTATGGCATATGAGCTGACTGACACCACCACCATTAACAGTGACACAGACATGCCACTCATCTGGGAGGGCCATCATAACAAGCTTCATCTTTACACAGCAGACAATGCGACCAGGTGTGCCATATAATCCTACTTTTAAATAAATACACAAGTATACACATAGCAAAAAAAAAACCTGCAAGAAGGTACAACACACATTTAACAGTGACCATTTCCAGATGGTAAGATTATGAGTGGTGTCTGTTCTATCTGCGCATGTCTGTTCTACCCTCGGCCTCTCAGGACCAGGTACTTACTGGTTGTACAGACGATCAGTTAGAGAAAGAGAAAGAAACCCAGCATGAAAGGGGTGTTTAGATAGAAGTCCTGGCTGCAAAGCTGTGGCAGCAGATGGCTCTCTCTGCGTTTCGGCCTGAAGTTTAGCCCCTTATTAATCACAAAACATCTGTCCAGCTCATTTCTATAGACAACAATCAAAGGCTCCGGTCCACTAAGTCCAAGGCGGCGGGGGGAGCTGAGTGGGGAGGCAGTTCACCCCTACCTGCAGACTCTGATTCACCTCAGCACCCCCCAACAGGTGTATTATGCCTTTTTTAAAATAATTAATTTCATTTTTGGCGGCGCTAGGTCTTCGTTGCTTTTGCTTGGGCTTTCTCTAGTTTCGGAGAGCGGGAGCTGCTCTTTAGCTGTGGCGCACAGGCTTCTCACTGCAGGGGCTTCTCCTGCTGCAGAGCAGAGGCTCGAGGGCGCACGGGCTTCTGCAGCTGCGGCACGTGGGCTCGGCAGTTGTGACTCCTGGGCTCCAGGGCACAGGCTCAATAGTTGTGGTGCACGGGTTCAGCTGCCCTGCAGCACGTGGTGTCTTCCCAGACCAAGGATGGAACCCCACTCTCCTGCAATCGCAGGTGGATTCTTTACCACTGAGCCACCAGGAAAGCCTCTAGGCCTTTTCTTTAATTGAAGCATAGTTGATTTACAGTGTTTCTGGTGTACAGCCAAGTGACTCAGTTATACATATATATATTCTATTTTGGACTCTTTTCCATTATAGGTTATTACAAGATATTCAATATAGTTCCCTGTGCTTATGTATTTTATATACAGTGATGTGTACCTATTATGCCTTTTTATTTCCTATAATTCTGATGCTCTGACCCCTGGGGGCTTGCTAACCCTGGAAAGGTAGCCTTCCCCCTCCCTGCCCCCCAGGGCTAGTCAATCCCTCGAGACAGTAAAGACTCGGGCAAGACTTTTACATGCAGACAAACCGGAGCCCACACCCCAACACCTTCTCTGTGGGGCTCTTCTGCTGGAGACCACTTTCTACCTCGCCTAATTGCCCAGGTACCAGTCTAGTGGAGACGGCCCCAGGCTACAGAGGCTGCTGGAGTTACTCAAACCAACCCATCCTAAGATGTAACTCTGCCTTGCCTTTCCTGCAGAATCCACACAAAGGTTCTTGCCCACGTTATCCTCCAGGCCCCTCTGCCTCCTGAACAACCCTGGTGCCGCCCCCTGTCGCCCTGTGTGGCTCCTCCTCTCAGCAACTGTCAGCTTGTGAGTAACGAACTGTCTTTTCAACAGCAGTCATCTCCCAGCTGTAGGCCTAGGCATCACTGAGCAACAGTAAAACCTTCATTCACAATAGCAAGGGCTGGGGGAGGGGGAACTTCCCTGGTGGTCCAACAGCTAGGACTTGGCATTTTCACTGCCGTGGCCTGGGTTCAACCCCTGGTTGGGGAACTAAAATCCTGCAAGCCTCATGGTGTGGCCAAAAATAAAAAGAAAAAAGAGAGAAAGAAAAAAAAATACAGTAGTAGGCAGCACCTTCACAGTGGCAGGTAAAGGACAGATAAAGGAGCACCCTGCTCACCAACATCTAAGAACCCATGGGCCTCCAGCACCCTTGCCAAGGCTGACAGTCACCTCTAGATGCCCCCTGCAGCTCATGCTGAGGACCACGCCACCCCTGCTCTGTGATGCCTGCAAGTTGGCTGTGGCCTGAAGCGTCAACCTCCACAGCGGTCATGCCGGAGGCTCAGCCCACCACGGGCAGCCCGTTGCCCACCCCCACTCGCCCGGGACACTCACTGCACCACGGCCCGGGGCTCCACGGGGCTCAGGGTGTCATACACCATGACCAGGTCACTGCCACGTTCATCGCAGGTGGAGACATCGAAGCTGCGGAAGGTGAGGCTCAGCACAGAGTCAGCGTCCCCCCGCAGCGTCCACTGGCAGCGGGCGTGAGATGGGTAGGGGCTGTCGGGGAAGCCAGGCGTGCTGAAGCGGGTGGGCTCGCTGCCCTGGGCGTGCAAGGCAAAGCTGCAGCTGTCTGTGTGGGGCAAGAGGACACGGGGCAGAACTGGGCAGGAGAGCCACCATGACCCCCGCCCACAGGGGTGCAGCCGGGCCTGGCCTCTCTGAGGTGCCCCAGGCTGCTCGGGACCCAGGAGAGGCCAGGAAGGGGGTCTGTCCTGGCCTGAGAGAGGCAGAAGGATGTGCTGGCCATCACCACGTGGGACTCTGGGGGACCCCCTTGACTGAGCGGGCATCTGGCCACATCGCTTCCCTTCTCCTTTGGGAGGAGGGCAGATACTTACTGTCCTGGGTGTTCTGTACTATTCTGGGGTCACTGGCTGAAGAACAAGAGGGAGAAGAAAGCACTTACTCATGCAGTCCATTTCCTCATTCCCCTAGAGGGAGGTGCCCAGCCGGCTCGCAGTCTCTTCTCCCAGGCACTGACTCCGGGAGAGCTGAGGCCCCCACACCAGCCCAGGAGCAGGCTGTGCTCCAGGCCGGACCAACACCCACCCCCGGTGCCCCCTGCACTCACGGAAGGCCACCACCGAGGTCATCACGAAGGAGCTCATGGAACGGGCTCGGGGCGGCACTGTGACCATGCGCTTCTCCGCCATGGCCTGCTCGGCTTCCTTCACCAGGTGCTTGGGGATGTCAAACTCCGACCAGTAGTAGGCGATGACGCTGCCCTCGCTGGGGAGAGAGGGGAGAGCCTGAGATGCCGGGGCCCACACCTTCCCGGGTGCTCAGTGAAGACGGGGCAGGATTAAGAGCCTCCCGGCTGGAGGAGACACTCACCAAGAGACCTTCTCCAGGCCAGTCCCCCCCATGCTGCCCTAGGCTCTAGTATGCCCACCCACCTGCTGACCCCTGAGCCAGAGGCCTGGGCCCTTGACTCTCATAGTCTCACACCCAACCAGACTTGTTGGGGTTGCAGCTCAGGCTCAGGAGTGAGAGAAAGCCTGGAGTGGAGTGTGGGTTCTCCCTCTAGCCTGGACGCACTGACAGCTCGAGTCTGTTTCCTGAACCTGAAAGGGGCTGATGGTGCCGCCTGCCATACTGCCTCCATAGAAGATTAAATGAGATTAGCAAAATCTAAAGACTTTCCGGATAAACTCAGAAGAAGGACTGGCGGGCATCTTGGCTCTTCAAGCAGGGCCTCACGGTCTCATCACCCCGGCGGGCCCCACACCCTGCCTGCCCCCTGCAGCGGGCCCCCCTCCCGCCAACCCTCCCAGCACCCACCTGAAGGCGGTCACAGTCGACGTCTTGTAGTAGGGGCCCAGGACCGGGATCCCGCTGTATAAGAACTTCAGCTGAGGGAAGGAGAGGAGGCTGATGGCGGGCCAGAGAGCGCCAAGGACCCCAGCCCGCAGCCCCCAGCCCAGGCCGCACCCTCCCTCCTGGGACCTGGGCCCCCTTCCCAGGTGCTGGAGAGCCCCCGTCACACGTCTGAGGGCAGCATGGGCCTCCTTTCTGCCAGGCGGAGGTGGGGGTGCCAGAGTCGACAGCAGCGCTGGGGGGCCGGGACTCACCGCCTCCTTCACCTTCTTGGCCAGGCTCGCAAACTCAGTGGAGTTGGAGTTCTCATAGGCATCCAGGAAGTTCTCGTTCCGGACACTCAGGTAGCCGTTGAAGATCTTCTGGACTCGCAGATTCCGGTCTGCGAGAGACCCGGGGAGGACGGTGGTCAGGAGCGACCTCAGCCAGCCCGGGGAGCGCACCCTGCCGTCTCCTCTCCCTCCCGCCCGAGGAGGGTCACTCACCCTGGAAGTGCCATGCCAGGAGCCCCGCCAGGAGGGACAGCGCCAGGAAGGCGGCCAGCACGGCCACCAGAACCACCCACCGCCGCGGGCCGCCCTTCTCCACCTTCCTGCTGTTGTTGGCTGGCAAAAACTCCACGCCCTCCTCACAGCCATCCATATTCTGCAGAGAGATCAACGCACGGCCGTCAGAACCCCCGGCTCTGCACCCTGCCGGCCCCGCTGGGGAAGGACAGCTCCAGGCTCTCGGGTCCAGCTGTGCCAGAAAAGCCGGGAGGCTGGAGCAGCGGCCTACCCTCCGGGCATCCTCAGGCACACACTGCCTGAGAACCGTGAGTGTAAGTAAAAATGAAACAAGCAGCCCGTCTGAGCTCAGTCAGTGGAGACTGTCACCTCCGTGAGTCACCTCGGACATAGGAGGAGGGCCAGGCGCGGGAGGAGCCAGCCCATCCCAGGGATCACCCCCTCAGCACCACCCGGCAAGCTGCACTGTACACACTGACCCCAATCCTTGCTCCGCCAGTGTGGAACCAGCCAGAGTGAAAAGGCAGTAACCCGGTCATCTCTGCCGTGCCACGGCAGGACAAGTCTCTCTGCCTTGAGCCTGAAGTCTCCCAGCCCAGGACACCATGGTGAGCTGGGAAGGCCAGGTCTCTACTGGAATCCATACATGTCCATGCTCAGACGCAAGAGCATGAAAAACAAACGAAACTTCCAATAAATAGGACGGCGTTGGGGGGGGGGGGGGCCTCCAGGACTAGGGGACACAACTACGGACACAGAGGTGGGGTGTCTGCAGCAGGCGATGGCAGGTAGGCAAACTCGTCCGCCTACAGCACACAGGCTATCTGCCGCCCTAAACCCTGGGGAGGGGCTGTGCCCTTTCAGAGTTAACTGCCTCATACCCACTCCAACAGGGTTTGCCGTAAAAGCAAAAGCCCCACCCCAAATTCCACAGAGGTGCCCGTTTACTGTTTTCAGACGTGGCTGTTTTCATGTGAACGTCACACTTGTACTTGAGTTGACATTTCCTGGTTTGTCACATTCAGACATCACTGCACAGCTTACTCGCTGCTGTGAGAGTTTCTCCCCACACCTGCCACGTTTGGGTACCTGTATCTAGAATTTTAGTTTCCTAATGGGTTATGTTTGTGACTTTATCTAATATCAAACCCAGACATACATCCCATAGCTAACCCTACCATGACCATCATGCTACAATATATAAACGCATCAAACCAAAACATTGTGCACCTCAAAATTACATCTCAAAACGAAATAAAATTTTAAAAACAAAAAAGAAGCACACCCCAGAGTCAACCACTTAAGATGTTTTCAACCTGCTTGTTCTGGAATTTGTCTCCATATTTTCTGAATAATATGCCAATACCACCAACTCGATTCATCTATAAAATATAATCAGCTGACTTATATTACGGTAATGTGTATTTCAAAGTCCTTCCGTCTTTCACTCATCTTCCCAAAAGATACAGAGCTAAAGTTTAAAAAAAAATTATATCCATACTCTGTGTTTTCATTATCAGTCTTGAGAATATTGTTCACTATAGTCTCCTTCTCACTACAATTGATTTGTTTTTCCTGCTGTGAATATTCATTTACTCGGGGTTTTTTTTTCTCTTTTTCACATATATCTAAGTCTTTCCATACAATCTAAGCGCTCTGTAACGTTCTTCTCACCTTCCACATAAACTCTGTCAAAGAACCTCTCATTTCACTTTCCTCTTGGAGGTACTCTGTCCTTTCCCGTAGCTGCTGTCTGGAACTTCCCCCACCACCAGGACTCTGGGGAGTTCCTGAATTCAACTTCCTCTTGGGTGGATAGCATCTGTGACTTTTAGGATTATAGTTCCCTGACCAGGAATTGAACCCAGGGTCATGGCAATGAAAGCATCGAGTCCTAACCACTGGACTACCAGGGAACTTCCAATACCCTCTTGCATTAAAACCCCTATTTCCTGGATTCCATGTCTTCGTTTCTGTTGGCTTACTTCATTTTGGTGGACACATACTTCAGTAGTTTCTAGAGAGGGACATTTCTTGCAACTTATATGTTTCAGAAGGACCTTAACTCTGTACTCATGTTTGTTGATATCTGGGCTAGGTATAATTCAAATAATTTTCACTTAGAATTTTGAAGTCCCCAATGTTCTACAGTTTTAATTATGCTTTGCAGAAATAAGATAATAGTAAAAATCCATCATTTTTTATTCGTAATTTGTTGTCTTTCTCTGAAAATCTTGAGGAAGTGCTCGGAATTGAGTCTTTCAACTTCACAATGCTAAGCTCTCCATCTGCCCTTTGAGCTTGGAAAGTCATATCTTTCAGTCTGGGAAAGTTTCCCGTTATTTTAGATTATGTCCTCCCCTTTATCTTCTCTTTTCTCTTTCGATAAGTCCTACTATATGGATCCTTTATTTATCCTTTCTCTGCTACTATTATTCATCTTGGGTTTTAATCTTTCTACTGAGTTTTTCACTTCTGCTATCAAAACTTTCATCTCCAAAAGTTCTGACTTGTTCTCTGACTTTTGGATGCAAAAATCTTCTCATCCTGATATTTCTATTGCGTAACTTTTCTCAATAGAGAAACTGCTGTTGACTTTCTCTTTTGTGTTGAAGGCTTTCCTTAAATGCCTAAGAATAGGAGGCTATTTGCTCAGATTCAAGAATGAAGTCCTAAAGGTTGTTTGGAAGCTCTGTGGACATGGCTGGCCACAGGTGGCTTCACTTTGGGCCACAATTCAGTGACTAGCCAGATACTTTACTGGACCCTCCCCACTGCTAGGCTGCGTAGATCTTTTCTATGGGATGGCTTAGTTACTGTAGAGAATAATTTTCTAATCTCCGGGATGGGGTAATTTAAACCTAGCCACTAGCATTCAGAACATGGGAGAGAAGGGACCTATGACTGTTTTCGCCCTCACTGCAGCCCTCTGGCACCCAGTGTCCTCGAGTCTGAAGAAATCAATTTCCCATCCCTTCTAGGGGATGTGTGGGTAGGAGCATTTTTGTTTGGAGTGGAGGTGGGGCTCTGGAGATTTCTAATAATGTCCTTCCCTGTCTCACCTCTATCTTCTATAAATACCTGAGCCCCATTCCTGAGTCTGGCAGAGGACGTTACCAGAGAAATACTAGAAGCATATTTCCAAGCATTAAAGAGAGTCGTATCCCTTCAAAGGGCTCACTGAATAATGAGAAAGATAAATGAAAAAGCACACATAACAAAATACACCATGATGAAGTTTCAGAACACCGAGGTTTAAAAGTACATCCTCTATTGCATGATGTGACCAACCAGGGCTTCATTTCCAAAATATCCGAACAGCTCATACAACCCAGTAACAAAAAACAAACACCTCAATCAAAAAATGGGTAGAACACCTAACCAGCCATTTCAAAGAAATGCCTAAGAATGGCCAACAGGCACATGAGACGATGCTCAACCTAGATAATTATTAGAGAACTGCAAATCAAAACTCAATGAGGTATCACAGGTATTTACTGGTCAGAATGGCCATCATCAAAAATCTATAAATAATAAATGTTGAACAAGGTGTGAAGCAAGGGAAACCCTCTTCCTGTTGGTGGGAATGTAAACTGGTTCATCCACTATTGAAAACAGTATGGAGATTCTTCAAAACACTAAAAACAGAGTTGCCATGTGATCTCACAATCACACCTGGGCCTATATTGGAATAAAACTGTAACTCAAAAAGATACATGTTCCCCTGTTCAGGGCAGCACTATTCACAGTAGCCAAGATACGGGAACAACCTAAATGCTGACCAAAGATGAATGGATAAAGAAGATATAGTATATTTATACAATGGAATATTACTCGGCCATAAAAAAGAATGAAATATTGTCATTTGCAGCAACATGGATGAACCTAGGGATTATCATACTGAGTGAAGTAAGTCAGACAAATACCATATGATATCACTTATATGTGGAATCTAAAAATTGATACAAATGAATCCAGCAAACTTTCATGGTCATGGGTTGGAAGACTCAAGATAGTTAAAATGTCTTATTTTCTTCAGTTGCCTACAGCATGAACACTATCTTGATCAAAACCTCAGCAGGTTGTTCCAGAAATTGATGAGCTGCTTCTGAAATTCGTACACAAGATCTGAAAAAGAACAAACTGAAGGACTTACATCGCCTTATCTTGAGATTTACTGCAAATACAACAAATCTTTTTTTTAAGTCATGCATTTCATTTCCAAGAGTGACTTTTATTCTTAGATGGTTCTTTTTTTAACCATAGCCTTTTCGATACTATGAATTCACCACCTTCTTGTTCTTTCTTAGGATCCCAACTTGATTGTTTTTATATGATCTTCAGAATCATGTCTTTGCCCATCTAGGTTGCAGGTTTGCTTTAAATGTCCAATGGTCCTTGGTTGTCTAAACATACTGGAAAATGAAAAACTAGTAAGGCTTTAGCTAGACTCTGAGCAAACTGTGTGTCTATGTTTATATGTGTTGGAAGAAATGTAACAGAATAATAGTTTATTCAGTTTATTTTCAGCATACAGGGTAACTTCACAACAGTTTTCTTACTCAAGCCCCACAACAACCCAAAAAGCATTCAGGACAGGTATCCTCACTACCATTCTACAGAAAGGCAGGAAGAAATGATGACTTTGTAGGATCACACAGCCACGAGGTGGCGCTCCAGATTTGACCTTCATCTTCGGCCTCCCTGGGTCAGCATCCAGAACTCGGGGAGCAAGTATTCTGGGAAATGGGAAAGCAAACTCCTTGGGAAGGAAAGGTGGCTGACAGCATGGACAGTGGACGTCAGGGGCAACCCCGGGCTGGCTGCGGAGCACGGTGTCAGCGGTCGGGCTGGCTCCTAGGTCTGTTCATCCCTGCAGTGTGAATCCTGGGCTCCGATCAGCCCAGAAATGCTGTTTAATCAGTAACTAGATGACCTCTTTTATTACCCTACTCTTGGCTCCATTTTCAGGTATATGAGAGATCATCTTGCCTAACCCAGTCATTTTACTGATAAAGAGACTGAGGCTGAGAGACAGGGAGTGACCTGTCCAAAGTCACAAGGGAGGTCTTGCTGCTGTTGTTCATCACTAAGTTGTGTCCGATTCTCTGTGACCCCATGGACTGCAGCACGCCAGGC